CTACATCTGTTTTTCTTCTTAATTTAGGAAATCGATGGTGTTGCTCTTTTACTACTCAAACGTGCTGACGTGCTTAAAGGCCTAAACTTCAAGCTTGGCCCTGCTTTGAAGATCAACAGACACATTCAGGGACTCCAAACTGCACGCCAACATATCTCATAATCAATTGCAGTGCTGTGGACTGTAGGAAATGTGTTTCCACCTCTGTTTTCATTTCTTTCTTCAATAGACTGAGAAGAGGTTACTGATTTAGTTAGTGGTCACACTGCATTAACCAGTGGTCATGTAGGTTCAACTTTGACTGCCATTGTGTCTACACTAAATTGTTCATCATATCATTCTGATGATTGATCACCATATTAATGCATCATAATTGACTGGTGGAGCTTAGGATTATTAATAAGCATTTTCATAAGCATTAGAATTATTTACAATATGTGATTTGCAAATTCAGAGGCATCTAACTTTTAATCCCCTCTAAACTCGGCGGGACATCAAAGTGAATTGTGCGAGAGAAGATGTAAAAATCAACAAGAAAAAGTGTTACATTCTGCTTTCAGTGCATATCTTAGCTGGGCAGAGCATTTGTTGTCTTGATAGTGACCCCCCAAAAAGGGAGAAAGAGAAGATTGCAATAAAAGATGTTTTTTCCAGACACACTACACACAAAAGAAGCTCAAACAGAACACTGAGTAGTTGACCTCACTCACTGTTTTATGTAGAGTAGTTTGCTGGCTGGCAATTATACATGTGCAGGATAATGTTGTATTGATACATTGTTAATAATGCACAAGCAGCTGGAGGTTTTTTCTGCACTCCTCATTTAAAGAGGGTGGTCCTCAGCCTGTGACATCGGCTCAACATCCCCATTCTTGTATTGCAATTTGACAAACTGTCTACATAAAAATATACCGGTTGTCCTGTGAAAAGTGTACTGGTTGGCCTGCGTCGAGGTTTCCCTGGGGTTGTTTACAGGACCAGAGCATAGAGTTGCCAAATAGATTAAATTACTCCCTTGAACAGTAACCTACAAATAAATGCGCCCTCTGGCCTGGTCCCCCACCTTTGTGACCGTTAGTGTGGGACCCAGCCCGGAGGCCAACCAGCAAACTGATTTTGCAGCCAGTGGACAGCCTGGCTCAGAGCTTACAGGACCAGCAATGTTATCTTTTTAAATGTTTATTTTTTCCCCATTCCATGTATTGAGCAGTCTTACATTGAATTTATCTTATAATTTGTTATAAATATAACTCATAAATATTTTTTATAAATATAACTTATAAATATTTATGTCAATTTATGGAATGGGTTATTTCCAGTTCCTAGGTAGGCTGTTATGATGAGACATCTACTGGTTGCTTCAGATATCTGCTAGTGCCGTAATAGTATATATAAGACTTCTTGAATTTTACTTCAGATGTCTGCAGGATCTTTTAGACATCTGGTGGTATAATTCATGCAGAGTATTCCACTTGAATTTGTCTACATTGCTTAGTCAGTGTAGCATCTTGTTAAGGAAACTAAATAATGGGGAGCCTCTCAGAAGGGAAAACTGAATAACAAATCTTTCTTACATAGCCTGTGATATTGTGTCCAGGCTGCCTATCAATAATAGGCCATGCTGCCAGCTCAGTCAACAGCTCATATAAATGCAAACACACAATGTTTTTTTTTAACTTCTCTTCATACGTATGATTATAACATTTTTATATTAAAAATAAACATGTCACAACATGTCCCTAAGAAGTGTTGTGAATGTTGTGTTTATTTACCGGTGACATCTGAGAACAAGGCATGACAATTGTGCTTCATTAGAATAAATAAATCTTCTTATGTAATATGTACATAAATAAATGTCTTTGTAAGGGCCTCGCATAATTTGATCTTACAGTGGCGTGGATCTTGCATTTTGAGAAATCATTTTACTTTTAATTGACTTGTCAGTAGCCACAATTATATGTTACTTCACTTTGAGGCACTGACAATATTTTCCTTTATTGGACACTTACATTTAACAAATATGTTTCTAGCCTATTCTGTGCCATCAAATGACATAAATTTTATTAGGAGTTCTGATTCTGTTATATATTTCATATAAACATTACTGTTAAACTGTAGTAAAAGCAGTTCTCCTTCATACCTATTAATAAATAAATTGTTACTACCGGTATAGTTGGTTTTTTTCTCTATGTATTTTTATTGCAAAAAATAGTGTAGCAAACATTGTAATTAAAAAGGTTTTTTTTTTTTGGTCATCACCTTTGATGTTTTGGCAAACAACAGGGTTTCGAAATTTGAAAAGTGTTTATAATTAATGATTTTAATGTGTTGGGATTGCAATGGCTTAACCCAACACAAATATCACCAACATATTTTTCTCTTCTCTTTACATAAAAAAAAATAACTTTAACAGATAGTCATGTTTTTTTAAATAAAATTTTTATATCATTGTTATTATAGTTTCATATGGTAATGAAGCTTTCATGTAACAGCTTTTGTATATCATAAATCTATGATTGTATTCATTAGAAATGTACATAAAAGAAAAATTTATCCAGTACATAATGTTGCATTCATTAAGGTTAGAAAGTTGTTATTAAAATAGTTAATTTTTACAAAAATGTTCAAAGCTGCTTGTCATTTTATTTTCTTGTAGGCCTACTGTGAAGTCACGTTGAAGTGGTTGATAGTTGAATATACTGTTTTATTTACTGCACTTCATGCCCTACTCTTCAACAATTTTACAATCTCATTTCATCCCCTTTGACATGACATTAAAGTAAAAATGGAAAAGCCCATTTGATTTCAATCAGTTGTGCACCGCACCTCGACTGAATGTGGCACAGGAAAAACTCCAAAATCCCCTATACCACACACACATCAATTATTTATATAATGTTATGAACCTTCCCCCCCCCCTAGGAAGCCACTGATTGCAATGAACACAAATCTATTGAACTGCTCAGCAATGATCCTAACTGAAATTTCATCTTTTCTGCATTCCTCCCCCCCCCCCCCCCTAGGAAGCCACTGATTGCAATGAACACAAATCTATTGAACTGCTCAGCAATGATCCTAACTGAAATTTCATCTTTTCTGCATTCATAAAATTCCTGTTGCTCATCTTAAGCCAGTGGTTGGCAATCTGATAATATATGGGTGACCTCAAGCCAATCTGATGATATATGGGGGACTTCAAGCCAATCTGATGATATATGGGGGACTTCAAGCCAATCTGATAATATATGGGGGACTTCAAGCCAATGTGATTATATAAATGGGACTTCAGGCTGTGTGAAGTAAATTAATAGTTGAACAAGATATGTTAAAGGCTTGAAGAAAATAAATAAGATGGAACAATTAAAAGTACTTTTCGCTTTGAAGAGATCTTAGATGTAAATTCATTTTAGTCATCATTTAATAACTCCTGACTGCAGTTGCAGCTCTAAGCTTATTGTTTCTTCTAATCTCAACACCGGGCTCTTTACTTTATCTTGTGTGTGGGGACGTTTGGTCCAGGCATCATATTCACAGAGGCCTAAAATTTACCTATGAAGGTATGAAAACTTAAATATCACCTAATAAAAAATCTAATATTCAAAATAAAGTTTAAAAATAGGAGGTCTATGCAATGAATCAATGAAAACATTCATTGTTCGAAGCGAATTTTTTTAAGGATATTAGTATTAGGACTAGATATAAACCTCTGACGGTCTCACCCCAGTTTCAAGACTTGTAGCCATAATTTAGCCGACATATTTGTGTCTCTCCTGATTCGAAAATGTAATTTCATATATTTTTGAATATCAGAGGTGTACCGATGACATAATATGGCATCCACGGCGAGAACAAAAATTCCGCTCCTGTCAAGCTTGAGAATTCTTTTTTTTTTTTTTTTAATTTAATTAAGACTCACCATTTAGTAGACCATTATAATTATAATATACAAGGAGGACAGAGGAATCAAATTAGATTTTTAAAAAGCAAAAACGAATAAATGTATTTGCTTGTTCAGTATAAAAAATTATTTGTCTGACTCGTCGTCCTCGTCGATCTTGCGCCCCCTTTCAAGTGGTGCACTAGAAATCTAAGAAAAGGAACATTTTAAAGAAAGTAAATTTAATGTAAAAATAACTATAACTTAACGTTGTTACAGTCCTTAAATACATTTACCTCCTAACCTTCAATTATTATTTTTTTGTTCTTGTCATTGTTATGATGTGGACTTATTTTAACACACACACACAAAATCCATCGTGGAAGTCGGGGTGGGGGGGGGGAGAGGGTGTTGTGACGCCATGAGTTTAACGCACCGGGGCTACGCCACTGTTTGGGGGGTACGAACCCGAGTCAAACAATTCGTAGTGGTGAATATAGAAAAGGGTGGTCAACTCTATAATGAAAGGATCATTTATCTAAAGACCAAGATAACATTTAAATGTAAAAATAAAATATTATACAAGAAGCAGCAATGAATATATATTTTTTTTAAATTTCAGCGACTCAACGCCAATGTTCCCTCTAACTCTAAGGTTTGCTGGTTCGTGTGCAAAATCATACAGTTGTGTGCAAAGTTTTTGAGCATCAATGTTTGTGTGTGCAAAAGTTTACAGCCCACAAACACAAACACGCACTTACATGGAAATTTGCTGCGCGGATACTCAAAACTGCTGCGCAGCTTAAACTTAAAGGGAACATTGCTGCTCAACGCGTGTTCACTCGACTATCATGCTTTTTTTTTTAAATTAAAGGTATCCGGTGGGCATTAAAATTTTAAAGAAAGTCACATGGCCTTGGCATGCCTTGACAACTGGAAAACAATATGTGCATAATTATTATGACATAAAAATCATCCCAATCTAATATTTTCCCCTCTTAATATAAACATGTTATTTTATTAATTAATTTATATTTTATTTGTTGCAACGTTATCAGTAATGCTGCTTCAAATAAATATTTCGCAAAATTATTTGGACTTTAATGTGAATCATGAATTATATAAACTTCCGCTGTTGACAAACCAATACACTTCGCACGTGTATTGTAGAAGCGAAAGTTAGTTTGATAAAAGGAAAACAGAAATCAGTATGCCAGCAGAAGCACCAGCAAAACATAAGGGGTCCAAAAATGCGTCTAAAGTTGTTTCATTTAGACCCCCTCAAGAAGTTTTAGACGTTTTTTGGACTCTTTCTGACGGTACTGATGAACAACGAGTAGCTGGAGCAATTAAGTTGAGCCAACTAATTGAAAAATCTGAAGTGAGTCTGTAATTTACTTAGTTATTCTATAGTTAGTAATAACTGAAGTAAATGATTTTCTCTCTAATGTTGCTTGTTATTGTTAGCGTCGTGAGATTAAGATTTATGGGCAATTTAGCGTTATTAGATCTCTCTCTAGTATAAATATGTTGCTATTTAGTCTATTTTTACAAGATGAAGAAGTGTCTTGGCAGAGCATAAAAAAATCCGGTAATGTTGTATATTAGCGTCAGTAACTTAAATAGAAAATTTTTCGTTGGTATTTAAAAATTTTTCAAATAATTAAATATTCATTGCCGAAGTTCTGTATCTATGAGTGAAGTCCCGAACAGAAATGCAGCAACTTTGCAGGCTTGCATATACAGCAGCATATTTTGCCAGATTCTGCTCACATCATATCTGACGGGCAGCTTTTGCACAAGTGGACAGGATAGGAGATGGAATATATCAACATTCAGTTGTTGTCCATCAACACAACTTCGTTGAACCAAACGATGCAGAAGTCCACGCAAAGAACATTGAGAATTTAATATGTGGATGCAGGCTAAGCGCAAACTGAAGTGACAGTTCGGGACTAGTTGTGCTCTTTTTCCATCCTATTTGCACGAGTTTGCTTATCGTTACTTTGGTGATGTAGACTTATTTTCACAGTTCATCATCACTTTGGCTGACAATTATGGATTAATGAACATGCGTTTTTACTATTGTGTCATCACTGAATAAACCTTAAACTGGTTTTATATGGTTTTAATTATTTTGTAACAATTTTTAAATTACCAACACTAAAATACATTACCAAAAATCCAACAATGTCACCAAGGCCAAATCAATGACTAAGTAAGACTCAGATTTGATCAGAAACTCTCTATCATTGATCAATTAGTGCTTGGTTTGGTTTGGAAGTTTATTTTATTTTGATTTTTTCAAGGGCTTAATTTATTTTATTGTTCTAAACACCCTATTTTATTTCTGCCCTTTTGCCAGATTGCATCTTTACTTTATTATATTATTAATAAATGTAAATAATAATATAAGTTTATTATAACTTACATTATAACAAATAACTTTATGTAAATAACTGGGGTGCACAGTGTCATTTGGGTATGTAACATCTGTGCTGGAGGAAGAGACTGGATAATGAACTTTAGACTAATACTATATCAAATGAAGTTAAAAGCAAATATGGAAGGCAAATAAAACCGTAAAGCCTAGTTATAACTATTAAACTTAAATAATTTGATCCCTACTTGTCTAGATTTGTATTTAGGCCAGTGAGTTAAGTCTTTTTTTTATTTAGCATTGATCTCTGTCCATCTCATACCCATATTATGTTTAGGGCACATCCCACCCTGCCTAATACTGGCCATAAATTAATAGTATCATTTAGCCTAGGGTAATGGGGAGTGACCTGATAGTGGAGTAAGACTAAAAGTACAAATTAAGGCCAAGGTTGCTGGCCAATAGCAAGGGCCTAAGTTTAAAATTATTTATATTAAAAATTATTCTAATTGGAAGAAGAAGAAGGAGCTCAAAGCAAAAGTACCCCAATGATTGACATTTGACACTAGAATTGGGAAAATAAATAACATGTCATCTGGAGGGGGAGGGGTGTCACGATTTTGTGATTATCTATTAATAAATTATGAAGGTGTATAAATTGTCCGACAAATTTTTGACAATATGGGTCTAAAAATCAGGAAAAAAAATTACATCATTTATGGAATGCCCTTAAGTTTCTGGAGTATGATTGTCACCTTGTTGAAAAGCAGACCCTCTGAGCGTTCTTAGTCATATGAAAAGTTATGTTAAATTCAACAAGCGTAATTGGAAGTGCCAGAGCAATGTGATTGTACACATATTCATCATATGCTGAATTTTTAAAACTTTTATATGTCTCTATCAGGGTAACAGTAACTTTTTTTTGTGGTATTTTAAAAGGAAGATGTAAAAAAACAGATTCTTAACTACTGCAAAGAAAGACTTGTGAGAGGCCTCAGCTCAGGTAGAAAGTTTGCCAGAGTTGGATTCTCAGTTGCACTTACTCAGGTAATATGTAAGAAATTAATACTAAGATCAATTTTGTAACATATAATGTAAAAGTATAACACATCCATATAGGGCCTTTTAAATGTATTTTTGCCCCCTTTTTTAAATTTTTATTTGTTGTTGGACTTTGCAAAAAAATATTTTTACTCTTGGTCTTGATTATATATTGTTTGTCATGGCTTAACACTCTTAAATTTGTTATAAAGGCCTAGTCAGTTATACTAAAATAATGGTTACTATGGTTTGTACAATTTGTAATATGTTATTTATCAAGAAAGATTTTAAAGTATATCAATGCATTATCTGTGCTCAATGTCATTTAAATCAAGCTTTATAAGTGTATTTGAACATTCTTTTTGTATTTTTAAAAAAATATCAAAATCGTGTTACAGAACTGTTTCCATTTTACTGTATTTATTTTTGTATCTTTGTTGCAGCAAATTTTTGTCTTACTCTTTTTTGATTACATATTAAATCTATAAAACCAACAGCTTCTACGACAGTATGCTGAACTTGATACAAGTGATGTCTTATCTACCATTAAGGCTAAACTCATACTCAAGGGCCCTGAAAGGAAAACAAAAAAAGTATGTTTTCTAATATGACACTATTATAATAATTTATTTTGTTTTATTTTTTTTGCACAATTTTGTTGCTTATTTCCTAGCTTGCTTTCACTTTTAAGAGTAATTTCCTCTAAATGATGTGTTTATGTCAATGCTAAATTTTAATTTTCTCACATTATATTTTGCTTCTCAAATATTTGTTTTCCAAAATATTTAGCCAGCTGATGATTTTTTAATGTTGAAAAAAATTAACTCTTCCTCAATTAATTAGATATTTCTTTTTGCTAATATACAAAAAAAAATAACCTTATTACTAAGCCTCAAGTTGATAAAAGTATGTATTTTTACTTCTTTTATAATAGTATTTATGGTACTATTCATGTAATATGTCTTAACATAGTCACCTTACATTGTTCAAACCTGTTAAACACAAACTATATTTCATATATTTGATAGGAAGTTGGAGGTGTCTATCTTGGACGTGCCTTTGCATTCTCCACACTTATTAAAGCAGGAAGATTAACACAGGTAGGAGAGTGCAAATTTTTATAAATTTCAATCATTGAATATTTGGTCCAATGCTTAATCAAACATTTCAATGACAATCTTTTGATTTTTACTAAAAGCTATTGCTTAGCTATCTGCATGTAAAATTACATTTCTTTTGAAATCTCCACTGATCACTTTTGCAATTATTTTTTAAGCGATTTTTTTGTTAAGCAATTGTTATTAGCCATATCACAATAATATCCATCTTATTTTTGGCTTATCTCACAATGTAATAAAATTAAAATACATGTCTTTAACCAAGATGATATTGACCAGGGGTTGGCAATCAGACTTGGCATGCAGAGCTACTTTCAATGGCACATGGAAGACCAAAAAAATAAAATGAAGGACTTAAAAAATGTGTCTCCTTGTAGGGTATAATTAACAAATTCTACTTGGGCACAATGTTACCAAGAGGTTACAGACCCTTGGTATAGATTACAGAGTTCGTATTTCAATTAACCAATTTTGTTCTATGTTTTCAGCTTAGTGGTGAAGCCTTGAGCTCACTAGTAGAAGACCTTTTAAAAATGTCTGATAAGAAATCCTACCTGAAAGCAGTGTGTAACAGAACAATTGAGGATCTGATAGCACAGGTGTGTGCAGCTATTTGTTTTAAATTGCATTTGTAACAAAAATGTTATTAGTTTTGTAGAGTAGTAAAGTTTATTTTTAAATTGCATGAAAGTAGACTAGTTGCTTTAGCAGACACGCATTTTCTAATATTATTTAAACCTCTTTTAATTTAATGTATTTAATGTATTTAATTTTGATCCTTCTTTTATTTTGTGTGTTTAAATGTAATTAATTATATTTATATTTTTTTTTACAGATTTCTTCAACCTCCTTTGAAGAGCATGTGTGGCCAAAAATAAGTAGCAAGCTAAAATGGGGGTGGAATTCATGTACCTTAGACAGGCTATCACTTTTGATGACATGTCGTGATACATTTCCCGTGAGTAGCCACAGCACAAACTGTGATGTTTGACTTTTCTTTTTTTTTTTTTCAAATTACAAAATGTTCAACTATGTTTGTTACAAATCAGATTTGTTTATAACTGATCAGAGGTCATTATATTTTTTAAACTGCTGTAATTTTTATTTTATAATCTTTATTGTGGGAGTTTTTCCCATTGAACAATTACATTCTCAAGCAACATGAAAATTTGGTTATGCGTCTATTGTTGAAAGTTAAATAATAAAGAAAATAGTTCAACATTGTAAGTGTCATTGTGATCTTAGTGGTAGAGTCCCCTCAGAGTTGTGAGGTTTTTTAGCATCACTCATCTATACATACATTTGAATAAATAGATCCCCTCTACACCAGTCTTATGAATTGCATGGTCATATTCTTGAGCCAGTTTCCTCCATTAGGTACCTAGTTGTTACCATTCAAAGAGAGGTCTGCTGGGACAAGCACATTAACAATGTGTGCTACCGGCAAACAAGACCCTAGGGTTCTTAAGGCGAAATCTGAAGATCAGCAACTCAAGCGTGAAAGAAAAAGCCTATAAAGCCTTAGTCCGGCCGCTTTTAGAGTACGCATCTACAGTCTGGGACCCATTTACCCAGAAAAGCATCGACAGGTTGGAGGCGGTCCAGCGACGTCCAGCGCGCTTTGTCCTGAACCGCTATAGAAACGCCTCAAGTGTTGGCAGCATGCTAGAAACACTGGGCTGGTCACCATTGAAAGAAGGACGACGACTATCCAGGCTCACCATGTTGTACAAGATAAAAAATGGGCTGGTCCATTGCTCCAGCATCAAACCGAAACTCGTCCATCTCCCCCCAGACAGCGACGAGGCCACGACAGGCAGTTCCGGCTAATAAAAACAAGAACTCAGTACAGGAACTTCTCATTCCTGCCAAAGACAATAAGGGACTGGAACAAAGTTCCAAAAGCAACAGTTCAGGCGAATACTCCGACACATTTGTGTCTCATGCCTCCTGTCTTCCAAACCCCAGTTCAAAATGCCACTGCTGAGTCGCCCTTGCAACCAGTGAAGTATCCCCTTGAAAACCATGCACAGTAACATCGCGAACCCCTCTGAAACCCAGGGAGCAGAATGATCAATTCATTGATCGTGGGCCCTCAAAATATAGAAGAAATAATATTTTAAAATGTATATATTATTTTATAAACTATTTTATAAACATATTTTTCAGAAAGTGACGAAGAAAAAGTTTTTGATGAAACACTGGGGGTATCCATTGTTGTCTGAGGAAAATGATGAAAGACTTATGAGAACTATATTGGTAAGACATATTTTAAAAGTTAATTATTAATATATATGCTGATACAATGAATACAATGAATATTGCCAAATATTGCTGGGCTACATTCTATGATCTATCTTTACAGGATACACCTCAAAAGTCTGAGATTCTGCTTGAAAAAATTTTGCCAAAAATGTTGGAGAGTGAGAGAGATGTATTATCCGTATGGAAAGGTTTAGGGGGTGAATATACATTTTCTCTTCATTTTATATAAGATCCTTATTGGATTTGACATGTTATGAACAGTTTAAAAGATTGTACAAAATTTCATCTTCTTTTCTGAACAGCGTCTCAGTATTTTTTAATTTGAACTGTACATCAGGAAATACTTGGTGTAGAAGAAAAAATGTAACCATTCTAAAGTTTAGTTAGGGATATGTGACTAAAATTGTCATTTTAAAATTATCCTCAGATAAACTAACAGAACAGCTCCAAGAGAAAAGGACAGACGTCATGTTACAACGTCAACTTTTGGCATTAAAGATTGCCAATAAACTTTTGTCATCACCTGGTGCTGAAGTAGAACAGGTTGGTCACAATATTATATATTATTTTGGGGTGTTATTTTTCAGGGTGTCACTTGAGTTTTAAAATTATTTCTTTTATTTTCCTTGGCATTAACGAAAACTGGTTTCCTTCAACAGATTTTAGAGATCATGCTATCACCCAGGTTGGCAAAATATATATTTCACTCCATCGTCAAGAAAAATGACCCACTTGCTGCTGCTGCTGATAGTTTGGTAAGCTTAAGTTCTCTTTCAATGTCTTTAAACTTTATTTTATCCTTTGCATGCTTTTAGTGCAAACATTTTATGGAAATACCCTGTTAAATGACCAGCATCCTCACACTGCATTAAATAACAAATTTCTGATTTATATTTTTTTACATGGTAACTGCATATTGGCATTAAATCTATTAACCCACCTGTTTTTCTTCTAAACTTTTCTGATTTGTACACAAGCCGCCTCATCGCCCTGAAGGTTACATGATTTTCGAATAACTTTCACAAACTTGACAAAAAAATTTTTTTCAACACTCCCCAGTGTGAGCAGTTCTGCACTAAACTTAAATCATCCAACTACAGTGTTTATGATGTTCTAGAAAAGATCTGGGAATCAGAAGCTGCTGAAGTAGATAAAAAAAAGTCCAATAAAATTAATTTTAACTCAAACAACTTCACCAGAATCCTTGACTTAGTGAGTAATTAACTGAATTTGAGAGTTTAAAAATAGTTTTTTTTAATTCAAATTCAAAAATCTTTGTTTGCCAATAATGCAGAACAAGATTATTAATTTTCTTTTGAATTTTACATTTTCTGGGGAAAATTTGAAGGTGCAAAAATATATTTGCTACCTACAAGTCAATAATTGAACAAAAGCTATTATTTTTAAAAAATACCTTTTTCAATTATTTTTGTACAGAAAACATATTTTAATTTTAAAGTCGATGACTGTAATTAAACTTGAATAAGCTTCATACAAAATATTCTCATTATAACATAACTAACATTGATGTAAGAACAGTATAATCTATAATGAAGATATTTAACTTTATCTTCAGTTGTCTCAACCTGAGGCAGAGAAATATGTTGAATTTCTAGTTTCTTATGTTAAAGGGAAAGAGTGGCCAGTAGTGTAAGTGTTCTCATATTTTTTTCAAATTAGAAATATATTAAATTTCTATAGCAAAATACAATAGATTGTAATCGTACTTATTAGATATTCATAGTTAGAAAATATATAAGTGGGAGGGCTACTGTAATCCTCTGAATTTGAGAATGTTAGAATTCTTTTTTAAAGTAAAAAGTTAAGCCGATTAATATTTATTCTATTGTGATATTACCATTAGAAGACATGTTGGTTTATGTTTGATTAGAAAAGTATGGATGGATTTGTAATTATAAAAAAAATATGCCATAATAATTGTATTCAATATTTTTATACCTATTTGTAGAGCCATAGAATCTGGCAAACAAGATAAACAGCTTGAGTATTGTGTTCGGCAGCTGCAGCACATTGCTAGTTCACAGCTCACAAACAATACAATACAGTCGACAGTACTGACGTTTTTACTCAGACTGGCTTTTTTCCAAGTGAATAAAACTACAAAGAGCATCCAACATGTAAGATATTACTGTTTTCAACTTTTTGTTTCTGCCTCATGTTATTTGATTAAAAAGAAGCGAGTTTTGATAAAAAAATTGTGTTGTTTTGGACATGAAATATAATTTCTATTCTATATTTACAGTCTTAAAAATGTGACACCTATTTTTCCTTTTTTTAATATCCATAGTGTGAAAAGTGTATAAACTTTGGAGCAGAAGACTTACACCAGCAGCTTTGTGAATCTGCATTCTACAAATGCCTTGATGCTCTATCAACTCTCAAAACTAGTGAGCATAAATTCAAGAATTTAACTTAAAATCAAGAGTAAATCTGGAGACATTGCTTAAAATATTGTGTTCTTGTCCTTTAAAAAGTAATAAAGTAACAGGTGTCTCTTTGAGATGGACCAATCAAAAAAATAAAGTTAAAGTTAACTAAAATGGTTAGACACTAAAATGGCATGGACATCAGACAGATTTTACTTTTATTAAATATGTTGTCCTTTATAACAGATTATAATTCTTAATAACAAATTATAATTCTTTCACCTGCAGATCAGCAGAGTAGATGGGGACAGTTTTCTGCTTACCTTGATTTAATGTATCACCTGGCAGAATATGTTCAGGTTTGTTTTGGGGTTTTTATATTTCTTTTTACCGCTAATCAGAATGTCACAAAATGTTATTAGACTTCAGAAGTCTGACGATATATGATAAAAAAAAATTCTACATAGAAGGTAGACTTAACTGTCAACTTTCAAACTTGCTGATTGCTGCATATTTAAGAAACCCTGAAGTGTAAGGAAATAGGGCTGTTTGTGTTGTAACTATTAGCTTTAGAAATTCTTCTGGATCACTGTGAACACGGTAGTGGATTGGTTTTTTGCTTTTCTTGGTTATTATGAGGTTATTCCCACCTTTATTAGAATTTTATTAAATTTATATTAAGAAATGTCATCACACAGTTGCTGTAAGGTTAACATTCTGATAACTGCATAGTGAAGGCCAGGTGGTTTATATGTAAAAAAAAAAAAGAAAAATGATCAGCTCAAGTTAAATATTATGGCTTATAAAATATTTTTTAGGACTTATTGTTACTTGTTTTTTTTTGTATTGTTTTTTTTCTCCAGACCCTTTTGACAGCAGAGTCATTGAAACCTATAAAAGAATGGCCCAATGAGGTGAATAAAGACAATTTAAAGTTAACAGATGGTTGGGTATCTCTGTTGTAGCATTAATTATAATTTAATCTTAGCTTCAATTAATGGTTTGAATACATATATATGAGGGTAGCGAAATGCATTATAAACAAATATGGAAACTTCATGACCACATTGTTTTGGCTGCAATTAATTGACTAAAATTTTCACTCAGCTGTTGTTTTGTGTTGTTAACCTAATTTTTCCTATGATTATTCCAGATAAAAACAGAATGGAAAAAACTTTTTGCCTTAATCACAAAGATTAAAGAGGTACATTATGTTTTTAATTCCTTATCAATAAGGCATATGCAGTAGCCATGATAATTATTTTAAGAATTTATTTTCAGAACTTAAATTATTAAAGATGACATATGCACATTTTATTGCCTAATAGTAAGGAATATTATATTTACCTGTACCACAAATGTGTTGATGAAAGCCAAGATTTCTTTGTTTCACATCTTGTTAATTTTAATTGATCACATTTCCTCTATTTCCTTTCTTCTAACAGACAGCAAAGAATGACAAGGAAGCATCGTACAACTCTGCATTTATGTTATTATTCTTATTCCTGGGATTTCAATTTTTTACAGATCACAAAATGGCTGTTGAACTTTTACAGGTTAGAAATATATTTAAACCTTCCTAATCCAGCTCCCAATCCTAGTAACAATAGTATGTAATCCAAAATTATGTCTAATATGTCCAATGAAATAGTTGATGAGGCTTAACAAAAATATATGTCTACCACTATTTCCAGGATGTTTATCTTTGCTATGAGAAAGCTAGTAAAGGACAAAAAGAAAAGAATGATGATGGTAAGAATTGAGACCATCCCAACATAAATAAACATTGGGAAATTGAAATTTAATGATGTTGCTCTGTCGTCTTTGTGGGACATTTCAAATTAAAGAAATATTACAAGAATTCTTTCCATACTGTTAACATAAGATTTAATTTTTGTGTATAAATTGTTTTCTCACTTTTTCTAATCTCTCTTAAACATGTAAATTTCTACGAGCAGAGCCACCCTGGGTCGAAGTAGTTACAGAGGTTTTGTTGAGTCTAATGTCCCTGAATTCCCACTTTGGAAGAGTCATCACGGCCACTGTGTTTCGCTCTATTTCCAGCTACTTGACTCCTGGAGCCATAGCTCTTGTTTCAGCAGTAGGTTGCACACTTTATGAACTTTTTTGCTGTCTTGGTACTCTACTAAAGCACATGTGTCAAACTCAAGGCCTGCAGGCCACATCAGGCCCGGCGTACAATTATCAGGCCCGATAGAGAATTTTAGGCCAACATATTTTTAATGGTCCCCCGATATAAAGTGCAAATAAAATTCCCTAATTAGCAGCATTGCCGAACAATATGCTACCCGAGAGTGTTCTAGCTTCGATAATGGATATGCCAATGATTTTATAGTATTAAAACTTTTTTCTGTTTTTTTTTACCGGGTATAGTAATGTTTAAAAATGGTTTCATTTTCCGATTAATTGAATTTTTATGCTATTCGGCCCGCTGAGCGATTTAGCTTGACACCCTGTTCTAAAGTACATAATTTCAAAGAATTCCAAAATCTTTTAATGTTAAAAAAAATATATATAATATATATAAATATATTTCCTACTGGTTAATTGGCCCCAAACCAAACATTGCTTTAGACTTAGGGTAGATTAAGATTAATTTAAATTAGACTCATTGAGAGTGCTTAGTGGCCTGAGATTCAGAACATACATTTATTTCTTAAACTTAACTGGCAATAAAGTTTTCTACATAACTATTGAACTGCTGTAAGTATTTTAACTATGTTTCCAAGTTTTGTTATCATAGATTCATGTTGTGATAATTCAGTCTGCAGTTTAGAAAGGTTTTATTTGGTCCATGAAATGAGAAGTTAGTTTGGTCATTAAATGTTTTCAAAATTACAAAATCACCATCATACTGAAATGTTTTCAGAACGAAAATGTTCTTTAATCCTCATTATAGGTTCTGATCCCCAAAAAAAGCAGTGCTGATGATGCCGGTGGTGTTTTAGTTGAAGTTGATGCTGATGATGGGGACGAAAACCCCAGTGATGATGAAGAAGCAGATGAACCGTCAGAGGAAGAGAGTGATGAGGACAAATCAGATGAAGAAGAAGGTATGGATGAGGATGTTGATGAAGAAGAAGAGGAGGAGGAAAATGTTGATGAAAACTTTCGCCAGTCTGTGAAGCAAGCCTTGGGTGAGGCTGCCGTTGACGATGATACAAGTGGAGATGATATAGAGGTGAATGCTTAGAAAAATTTAGATAAAAAAAATTGTGAACTAAATATTCTTCTGTTAATAAAAAATAAATTTGGTAAAATAAAACATTTGTCTACTTTTTGGAAAATAGAGCAGTAAATCTACAAAAGAATCCTTTTTTTTTTTTTGAGAGTCATCACAACTTGACTACAACTTCAGTTTGTTGTATTAATGCATTTCCAGGATTTGCCAGATCTAAGTGATTCAGACATGTTTAAACTTGATGACATGCTGGCTGAGGTGTTCAGACTGAGGAAAAAAGGCGGCGGCAAGAAGGCAAGAGAAGAAAAAAGGAAGGAAACTGCCAATTTTAGAATCAAGTACGTGTGGTGGTGTAGACTTATACTTGATAGAATATGAGGCTTTAAGAAATGTTTATTTTTATTAGCTAAACTGAAATTTTGTTTATAGCTGAAAAATTAAAGTTTTAAACACTTGCTTTTTACAGTCCATATATTGAGTAAAGTAAGAATACAGAACACACAATAGTGGTAACTTAAAGAGATTAAATTTTTATTAGATTTTTATTTTGTTTCTTTGTTAAATGGAATGAATGTTTTGCATTTTTGACATGAATTGAAGGGGTTCAAAATCCTGTGAGACATTCAATTGCTTGAAATATGATTATTTTCTGTTTGTTATTTAAGAGTTTTAGATCTCGTTGAAGCCATTGTGAAATCAGAAAGGTGTGGAGACTTTTTAATTGTAAGTGAAACAATTTTATAATTACTCTAAAATTTACAAAAGTTAAATTGTAGCATAGTTTTATAATTTATGTTTAAAAAAACAACTATTTTCTTACAGCAGATTATTTACATTGATTTTAAATTTTTTCCTTGTTATGTCAGGACCTGCTGAAGCCCTTGTTGTTGCTCATGATGGAAAACAAGCCAGAAAGCATTGCTCTTGTTAAAAGATCGACAGCTGTGTTTAAACTGCTGAAGTCTAGGGCCAAGGCAAGTATTAAAGCTGTTAAACCTCTTGTTAATTATCTTATCATTGCTACATTTTTAAGTTGAGGATATATTAATTCTGTAATTTTTTTGGGTTTTATTTTCACATTCAAAATGCATAATTTATTGATTAATCTTAAAACACTTTAATCTCTTTTTGTGTTTTATGTGTTAATTCCAAGGCATTAAACAAATTTTTAGATTTATTGTTAGAAATCTCTATAACTCAGTAATGTTCCCAATATATTTACAGTACTCAATTTCTTTCTGACTGTGCTGTATCAGTAATATTTCTTATTGCACTTTAATTTTCCAGGGTTTGAAAGATACAGTTCACTCGGTAACGGATCAGAAAGATTTTTTTAAAGAGTTGCTGGAACTCGCTCAAACAGGTTTGACGTTAAATAGAATCTCATTTCCACTGGTAGCATTGCTTGTTTAGAAACTACCTTGCCAATTAAATTAAATTCCATATACAATTTTTATTTTCAATGATTGCTTTAATTTTTAATTTCATAATTTAACAAGGTGAAATATTTTTAACCAATGCCTCTCATTCAATTTCTGATAATAAGTTAATTCTTTTTAAAGCGTTGAATTTAATTATCCTGATAGTTTATTTATTTTTTATTTTCAGTCACTGATGCGACACATTTAAAGCTAACATCTGTAGCATGTATGATTGTGGTAAGTTTTGAAAAACTGCAAGCTAGGGGGCATCCATAACTGATGCCATGCAATTTTTGCTGATCTCTTCCCCCCTACCTTCCAAAATACAGGCACTTTCATAATAAATTGTAAAAAATTCATGACACCTCTCCTATGTGTCATTTACTGATGGCCGCTTGGGTGTGTAGCTATTAAATAGTTTGTTAAACACTAAATGTAACATTATGTTTTTATACTCTCCAAAATTTTTTTACAAAATATATCTTTCCTCCTTTTTTTAAAATGCTATATATTAATATTACACGATGGTCAAAGATTGTTCAAATGTTTTATTGATAGACTCCATTGAATGTAAGAAATAGTGTAAATGGTCGTTGCAAGGTGTTATTCTTGTACCGGTACTTAAATAAAATTGTTCCGTGACTTAAACAAGTTAATACAAATTCATTCATTTCTGTTTACAGATGAATTTGGAGTTTACTGGCCAGCACACTGGGGTAAGGCCTTGTCTTTGTTGTGGATATAAAATGATATCAAATCAACAAATAATGAAGTAGCGCCAACACCTAATAAATTTGATTAAGTTTGTTCATGATTAAATGATTGTGATTGAGTGGTTTATTATTTAGTGGTTTGTGATTTAATGGTTTGTTATTAAGTGGTTAATGTTTAAGTGGCCACCCAGACTATTTAAAGAATTATTATTGTCAATCACCATAGTTGTTTTTTTGCCATTGTAAGCAGGAAATGTAAAAATAAAAAAAAAATAAAAAAATTAATGCCTTATGTTCTTTTTATCAAGACTAGATGACAATGAAGAAAGGCTGCGACTATTCGTACTCGGGTACCAGAAGTGAGAGGTTGGGATTAAAAAACTATTTAAAATTTTTATTGTTGGGTAATAAACTATGGTATCACAAATGACATCCGAATAGCTTGAGTCTAATGGTACCCGGATGCGAATGGCGGCGCTGCGTGTCTGAGTCCATTTTGACTCTGTGCTATTCGGATGTCATTTGTGGTAGTTTATTTTAGTTAAACTGAAGAATTAAGTTTTCAAACATATATTCCATTCAATTATCTTTCATTTGATACCTCAGTTTGTCTTACAAACCCACAATAAAGTTTTAAATAGTTTTTTAATCCCAACCTCTCACTTCTGGTACCCGGGTACGAATAGCCTCTTCGATGAAGAAAAGTTACTTAATAAACTTGGGGGGGGGGGGGGGGGGGACATAAAAAAAATAATTATTGTGAAAAAATTGTGTGTATTTGTAACTAAAAAAATTAATACTTTTTCCATCCAGGACTCATCAGCGGCTCTTTCACAGTGTGTGGATCTTCTAAAAGAAACACTTGTGAATGTCATCAATAAAAAGTAATCACAGCCTTTTTTTTAATTTACTTTTTAATTTTCCTGTTTTTATTTTATAATATTTTTCTAAGAATCACTGGATGATTTTCTAATAAGAAGGAAAATACAATATTTAAAAAAATCTTTTATGGTAGTCAAATGTTATTAATTTTTTTCATTCACAGACAGTCCAAGCCAAGCCTTTCTTTTTTTTCATCATTGATAGACCTGAACCCTGTAAGTTAGTAACATCTCACCATTAGCTTCAATTATAAGTGAAGGAGTTTTTATCAAAATATTTTTTCTGATTGTGCAGTGTTAATTATCTGTGTAGTGTTTGAAAAAATGTATCTTCACATTTACAGACCTGTTCACCCTCAAACTCTTCAAATCGTACAATATAATCACAAAATCGTTTAAAACATTATCTTAATTGTAAAATAATAAACTTACAGTATAAACATGTATACACCTTAAAATCGTACATTGTTCGCCAAAATCGTAAGAGTAAACAGGTCTGCATTTATAATAATTACCCATTTTTTAATATCTAAAGATACGTTTCAAAGAACTGAGTCCAATGCTGGTCACTAGCTTGCAGACTGAGACAACTAAACCCCATAGCAAGGTATGTATCAAAATATTCTTTTAGCCTAGTCTTTAAATACTTAACAGTGAAGGACTTGGACTTGTGATGAATAGCAGACATCGTTTCAATGACTCAATTTACAGTTTAAATTTTCTTGTTGCATTAAATTTATAAACCTGCACCAAAATAAAATTTTGTCAATGTTTTTTTAACGTTTTTTTTCTCTCTTTTTGACTTTTGAACTTACAAATCAAAACAGATCCTCAGCTAACATTAAAATAAATGTTCTTTGCTGAAGATCCGAAATGTTTTTTTTCTCCCCATCCGTTTACCAATGTGAACTTTGTCCAATCCTCAGATGATTTGCTGCTCTCTGTTGGCGAGTCTTGCCAAGAAGTCTAACAATGTGAGTAGTCATGCGTCATTAAATTACAGGCTGTATGCAAAACTGGCAGTTGAGATTTTTTTAAAGCATTATTTCATATTTAGAGCAGTGAGCAAATTTTCTTCTCTTCTCTAATAACCAGGTTAATGACTCTGACAAAGAGAGCTTAGAGAAATGGATGACAAAAGCAGCAACATATGTGACACAGGTAGGACTATTGCCAGATATTTCTGACATATTTTTTTTTTTGTCGACCATATAATGCACACAAGGGAAAACCAGGCTCTGAAAGAAATAGGACACGGTATGTAGAGGCTTGAAATAGAAAAGCAGGACAAAAAAGAAGGAGAGCGTGTTGGGTAAGAGCCTTCCTCAGCAGACAGAATAAATGAAGAAATGACAAGAAATAGAAAGTATATTAAAAACATGCAGAGTTAATAGGTAGTAAGTAATAGATAAAATCTCATTTAGTCAGCTTGGCTATAATTTTATTACCCAATAAGATGGCATATTTATTCAGTCCTTCCTTGTTTCACATATCTTACAAAGAGAAATGTGGTGCTGTCCTTGGCTATTTTAAACAGGCGATTTTATTTCTGTGTTGCGTACACGCACCTTGTGTCTTGAAAATGTTTCCTGATTTTTAAAGTGAGTTCAACAGTTGCCTAGAATTTTTCTAAAATATTTATGTGGCACTGTAAAAAAAAAAAAATCATACATCGTAAAACATTTGAGGGCAAATATCAATTTATTTTTTTCTCTTTTCTTATCTCCTAATTACAAATTATATATCGTCTTATGAGCTATTAATTTTCATTTCCATCCCCCAGTTCATCCTGGCCCTCGACAGGGCAGCTCTGCAGGTCATGCTGACCAAGGATGTGTTAACCTTGGCAGTGGCCCTACAAGCCAGAACTGACATTTTCACTCAGGTACCATCTTCTGTTTCAGCTTGACATGTTTTGGTTTTATATTTTATACCAATAATACAGTGGCCTCTTTTTTTAGTAGTTGCATAAATAAGGCATGAACTTGCTCTAACAATTCATTAATCGTGCTCAGTGTTACATGACGACTTCATTGTACATTGTCAGTGTTGAGCAAGAGAATCTCATGTTTTTACACTCTATTTACATCACATTGTATAAAGAGATTTCTTACTTTGGCTAGAAACTGATGGTTTTTATAATTTTTTATAAAAAAGGCAATCAGGGAAAAATAAAATCTCTCTGTGGAGGATGCATATAAATGTTTGCTCAAATAAGGGGGAAACCTAGAATTGGGTCAGTATTTCTACTCTGATAACATCCGCTGGTTTACTGTTGTAGGGGGGGTCTATTTATAATACTTGTTACATACCTACTCTATATGGTTTTTGTAAATTTAATCTGCTTTAAGATTTGGCTAATGTTTTTAACAGTGCGTAACTAAGACTGAAAACCGGTCTACAAATAAAAATGATACCATAGCTGGTGATATTAACAATATTCAATTTAATTATATTATTAAACTTATATAAAGAATACAAAATCAAATAGAAATGAAAACTATATCAAATTACAGCACAGCAAGTGAAAAAGTAAAATCCTGGAAAGATACAAATATTAATTTACACTCACATAAAAAGTATGATCTTGTTAGTATATTATGTCTGTTAAATGTCTAGGAATAACAGAAAAAAATCTCTGCCGGTTTATTTAAAAGGAGTGTTTTAGTACCCTCCAGAAAAGATATTCTACACATTTCATCACCCGATATCATTCTCTAGAACCAATTAGAACGTAAACAACCTTTTCCCAATCAAGGGAGGGGAGGATGTGGTACGCACTACACATTATTTCAGTGATGTCAATAAATAAATTTAAAAATTTTAAGTCTGTGGGAGAAGGGTGGCCACCACAAGCAGTAGATAAAAACTAGTTTAGCATAAAAGCTATAAAATAAAATAATGATCAAACTTTTTAAACTGGATTTAATTTTAAATATTTTTTCCTTCTTTTTGGTTTTAGTCACCGTTTGATGTCAGTGTTAAGAAGCACCTGATGGATGTGAAATCAGCATTCAACACAGACCTGAGAAGGCTGGCTAATAAAGTCATTAGTGCCATTGAAAGGTTAGTGACAGTTGTAATATTAGGGGACATCATTACTCTGGATAAATTCTAAAAAAAACATTTTTTACTGATCGAATGGCTTCAGTCGCCTTTCCCTGAATTCTATATGACAATGTAAATTGTTACATCCTGGCATTTAGAAAATAAAAAAAAAGTTATTTTGTAATTCTTGTAAAGTATAATTGAGGGAAAAATAATTGTTTGTGTGTAATTGTAATATTTTTGAAACAAATTTTAATGAAATCCAGCTTTTGATAATGTCAGTTATAATTTCTTTAGAATATAGCTAGGTTTACTCAGGATGTTAAAGTTACTCTTTTCAAATTTAACTCATTTTTTTTATACTAAAAGCGCCCATCCATAAATGACATCAGATATTTTTCAACACACACACCGCCACCCAATTGTCACAAATTTGTAACTCAAAATAGACACTTTTATCACTGTCATAAATTGGGGCCTTCCCACCCCACTTTCCCCAGAGGCTTGATGTCCTTTCTGGATGGCCCCAAATTTATAAAGATTATCAGGCTTAAATTTGTAAGGGGGCAGTAAGCATGTCACTGGTGATAACTTGGCTAGGGGGGAATGTTTGCATTTATTTACACTGAACGTAAAAGCTGATACCAGTGATAAGAGAAACACTCTTTCATGTTCTTTTCCTGAATGGCTGTGTGGCATATCAATACAATATTTGTTCTGGCAACCAACCGGCAAGCCAGTCAATAATTGTGGGGGGAAATTTAAGATGTGGATCCACAAAGATTTTTATTGTTTAAATCTAGCGTTTCTAGTATGAGGGACTTGAATTGGTGAAACTGAAGAACTGTTTGCTTGAAGAGAGTAAATATTGAACAATGGAGAAACATTAGATTAGAACAGGATTATTGGGATTAGGTTTCTGTAACATCTATTGAACAGGTCAAACTTGAAAATGAGTTTTACATTTTAATACTTGTTACTGTGTGGTGATGTTTTTTTTTAAACTTAAAACTTAGTAAAAATTATATACCGGTAATTAGGGGTCTGCCGGAGTCCGGTCCGGAATCCGGTTCCGCCGGATTTTGCACTATCCGGTGAAATCCGGTTCCGCCGGATTTACATGTATCCGGAACAACCGGAATCCGGAATATACCGGATTTCGGAATTTGCCAGATTTTGTGACTCACCGGATCATAATCTGAAATAAAAGTAATTCTCTTTCCCGAATTCCACACAATCACGATACATTAATCGATTGTTTCGAGCGTTGAGCTTGTTTAATGTTTAATATTCTGTACATACCAGAGGCTAGAGTCAGCACCGCTAATAGTGGCCAATAGTGTAGGGACTTTGATAAGAAAATTTAAACTTTTTGTAAAAATAAACCAATGGCATAGTTGAAAAGATGTAATTTTTTAAAGAATTATAACACCAAAATCATATTTTTAGCTGTTGTAGTTTTAAAGTTATGAATTTTTAAAGTACGACTTGGTTTGTCATTTTTTAACATGGACTGCATCTCCACATTCTGTGATCTCATTCCACCAATCCCGTCATGCGCAATGACTATATAGTTTATATAAGGCAACGCATTCCCTGCCTTATCACTAAAATACTGTTTAGACTTAGTTTAAACTTTCAACTTTGGCACATGAATAATTAATTAAAGCTTTCCCTGACCAATGGTTTAATAGTTTTTGCACACGGCAAACTCTTATGAATGAAACTCTGAGGTAGTACTACGATACAGTTATGCAAGTGGCTGTGAATGGTTGCCAATGACAACGTGTTGCACACGGTAAATTCTGATCATTTATAATATGGATTCTACCGGGTTGTTAAAGCTCAAATTAAAACATTCCAGTTTAAATGTCTTTAAATGCATTCTGAAACACAAGTTATCAATTATTTTGATGTAAATAGTGATAATAAATTAATATTTCCTAAGTATCGTCAACTTCCGCCATTAAAAAGGGGGGCGTGGCCAACCCCATGGCGAAATTAGGTTGAGCGAGCTGCATGACCTGCTGCGAACGCGTAGAAACATGGCGTCTCTCGTAAGACACTTATCCAAATGGAACGGAACTCAAATATATATCGAAAGTACTAATTTAATAATAAATAGACACACACATCGGAAAATTAAAAACTCAGATTTTTTGGCGCCGATTGCGAATTCCCATACACAAAAAGTAGTAGTCCACCTTGACTTACCGAAGTATCTACCAATAGTACCAAAATTCGGAATCCGGGAGAAACCGGAATCCGGATTATTCAGGAATCCGGATCCGGCGGATTTCGCATCCGAAAATCCGGATCCGGTTGGAAAAAACGGATCCGGCACACCCCTACCGGTAATATCCATCTATCCCTGTGGTGCTACAGCCCAAATGGGGCTTTGGCCTGCCTCACTACTTCCTTCCACTCTAATCGAACTAATGCTTTTCTTTTCCATGCTTGGATTTCCAGCTGCTGTAGATCTTTTTCCACATCATCCCTCCATATAAGCCTAGGTCTGCCTTTGAGCAGTTTTCCCCTTGGGTTTTGGTGGTGCACCCTATTCACTCCTCTGTCATTCGGCATTCTTTCCAAGTGTCCCACCCTGTATAGACTGCCCTTTTTTATTTCTGCTACTAGTGTGGGATCCTGATTTATAGAAATACAGTTCTTTGTTACTGTGGAAGTGGATCGATAAGAGAAAATAATGATAGTAATAAAAGGATAATTTTTATTATTTTTTTTTTTTAAATTTTATACAGGAGCCAGTCCATGTCTAATAAAAGAAAAAGTAAACAAAAAGGAAATAAACGAACCAATGGAGATGCACCTACAGAGAAATCTCCTGCCAAAAAGAAGAGAAAATTATAGATGACATGTACATTGTGTAAATATTATATGAATGCAGATTTCTTCATAATACATACAATACAATACAATATAAACTATCAGCTGGTCTTGAATTTGTTGACTTTGATTTTTTTAAAGATCTATCTGGTTAACTACCATTAAGTTGCTGGTGGCGCCAAACTTTCCTTCTATTGTGGCGATGAGCCACTGTGATTGTCACGGTTTGTTTCAAAGTGAAACAAGTGATATATTAATATTCTTGGTTCAGGTTTGAGATTTTAATTTACAGACTGGCTGTTTATTAAAAACGATGTGGGACAGTCAGGCTGTAAACAAAAAATGTATTATTTTTCATATGTATTGTATTTTTAGGGTTCTTAGCAAGTATTCTTTATGGCAACTAGCGATAAAGTTACCAAAAGCAAACATGCTATTAATAAGTTGGAGATGTGTTTGTTCTATTGCTGATTGGTATAAATTTGGAAACCTTTTCAAATTGGTGTAGATGTGATTACATAAATAATTAGATTAATTATTAATTAAATGTTTTGGAATTTTCAAAACTTGGTAATTTGGCACATTTTTATAATTTTTGAAAGCTTTTCTCTTGTAAATTAACAATTTGTTGAAAATTGTTTTAAAATGAGATGTAGCTTTTTAAAAGTTATGTGTTTTAAATTTATGTTTGTCCCCAAAAAGGCATGTTACTTATATTATAAAAATTTGTTAATAATTTAAGAAAATGGTAACAGACTTTGTACATACACCTGTATGTGGGGAAAATGTGACCTATATTTAATTCATCAATGCACTGATTTTCAATGGGGGAACTAATCTGTTAAATGTACTGGCCATGTACAGGGAATAGCACAATAAATTATGACTGCTGCCCTAATAACATGATTATGTGAATTTAATCTTGTCAGTAATTTATTCAGTGTTGGGCCATAATTTTGATTTTTTAATCCAGACATTGTCATTAACTTTTAATTGTATATTTTTCATATGTGAATAGTGAATAGGTACCGGTAATCGTAGACATTTCCAAAGCAAAAAAAAAAACAAAACCAAAATGTATTGGCAAGACTGCATTCATTTAGCGTGAACTAAAACATCAGACAGCCAGGATTGAATATGATAATAAAATAACTGAAGTGTCACGGTACCTTAACCTAAACCGGTGTTTTCAGTTTTACCTTGATCAAACCTAAGTTAGCTACAAGTCACACTACCAGTGTTACTTCACTGGGATCAATTTAACTGTTAACAGGATACAAAATACTTTTCCAAATATTGACATCAATGACTAAAATTGTTGAACACCTGTCTCTCTCCCCCCCTCCCCCTTTTTTTTTCACCCCCCCCCACAGTGGAGCACAATACTGTAAGGAGTTTAAAATAAAAAAATTATCCAATATTAAATAATTACCCCACCCCCTTACTTTTCCAAATATTGACATCAATGACTAAAATTTTTGAACACCTGTCTCTCTCCCCCCCCCCCCCTTTTTTTTTCACCCCCCCCCACAGTGGAGCACAATACTGTAAGGAGTTTAAAATAAAAAAATTATCCAATATTAAATAATTACCCCACCCCCTAAAAATAAATGTCAAGTCCTGTGTACGTGGGATGCAGGGGTGGGGAAGTACCCCCGGTATGTTTACGTCAGGATCAACTTTTTTTTCTTCTATGGGACTTGAGCTGGGAATCTAAGTTAATCTAAACACCGGTGACGTTGGTGACAGTAAATTTACAACTTTACATGGAACGGGGGTATGTTCAAGTCGCACCCAGTTGACATGATCTACATTATTTACTTTGTTACTGTAAGACCTTTGTTTGTTTGTTGTTGCTGTAAATCGTTGCTGTCGTCATCAAACTATCAGTCGCCGGGGCATCTCTGGGGGGGGGGGATCATTTGTACGGTAGGTGTTGCTGTAAATCGTTGCTGTCGTCATCAAACTATCAGTCGCCGGGGCATTTCTGGGGGGGGGGGGATCATTTGTACGGTAGGTCAGAAACTGGTGAGTCTCGGAAAATAGGGGTCTTTGAAATAAGTGAGTCTTAAGAATTAGAGGTCTCAGAAGTTATTGATTCTCATGAAGATAGAGGTCTCATATAATTAAAGGTCCCAGGAATGTGTGAGTCTTATATCAACCGTATTAGAAAACAAATAGACGCGAGGTCATGTTCCCATTGCTGCTATTACTAATAACGATAAGAAGATACATTTCAGAATCCGCACTAGTACACGAGATGGCTTTTTGGACTTGGAGTGATTCTTCCCACGTAACCTCTAACTAAACTGAAAGTGTAGCGAAATATTGAAATAGAAAAGCTTCCCTTTAATTTAAAAAAAAAATTACATTTGATGACAAATTGTTGCAAATTTTCGGGAGTTTTTGTCTAGCATTGACTACCATTAATAAAAACTGATAGGATTCGCTATAAAGTCTCATCAGTCATCAGTCAGTTACGGTTCTAGTGTGCAACTTCCCAAATGCTCCAACTTCAGCGCAATTCTTTTAATTTTAACGTGTGCAATAAATCATCTGAGCGAATGGGCAATTTTATAAGTCGCTTTACCTGTAGATTACTTTTGCAGAGTTTTACCGTAGAAGGTATTGTAAGGCATTCCCTTTTGTCGGGCGCCACTCGACAGACTTTACGCTTTATAAACTTGTACAGTGAAATCGGGGCGTGGTGCAGATTGGAACATTTAAGGGGGCTTTCTGCTAGTGCGGGGCTGGGCATTATTTATTTTTAAACCATGGAGTACCATGGTTTTCAATGGTATTCAGATTACTGACAAGATTAAATTCACATAATCATGTTATTAGGGCAGAAGTCATAATTTATTGTACATGGCCAGTACAAATCCCTGCTCATTTAACAGATGAGTTCCCCCATTGAAAATCAATACTAAGATTTAACATTTAAAAAAAAACAAAAAACCCTGTTATGTAAACTGAAACAAGCGTTGATCAGAACAATGAGATAACAATGTTCACTGACGGTGGCGGGTCTGAACTAAAATGGTTTCCTGTCACGTTTTCTGACTGAAAGAAGGGAACTCGAGCGTTTACACGGGGATGGGGGAAACAGTTGCTTCCCGTCTGAGTTTGGGAGGGGGGGGGGATAAAATTCCCCCCTGCCCGCTTTTTTAATTTTTCCAGGTCTCAAAATTAGAATGGGAACAGCCCAAATACGTCACAAAAACAAAGCACATAGAAACAGCTGAACCATTTATCTTCAATATTTTTTTTTTTAAATATAGATTGGAGGGGGGGGGGAGGGGGTGTTGTCAGGTTTCGATGGAACTACACGCGTTTTGACCTCACAGCCACCCCGACGTTCAATCTCTAGAGTTGAAACCAAAGTATTAAAAAAATTATAGGGTATTTATTTTTTTTTTTAATAATCACAGGAATTTATAATTTAATTTGCTAGTGTGTTAACAATGATCTAATAATGTTTGAACAATGTTTTCACAATTTTTTAAACTGTACATTTGCGTGTTACTCATATTTCTTATAGAACGCCCGACTTAAACACCAATACCATGGCTGACATGACCCACAGTACAAAATGTACCAGGTCTAAGGGGAGGGGGGGGGGTTGGCTTGCATCACTCAGTTTTGAGAGACGCTCTTGGAAAGGAGTGTGTGTAAAAAGGAGGAAGGGGGGTGGGGGCATATGACCAGGTACTGCTCTCAAAAAACTTGCATCTCGCACTAGACAGTAGTCAAATTCAAATACAAATTAAATGTAATCTGAAGGTCGGATCGTCCTATGTATTGTAAGGTTATTGATATGTGATGAAAGGGTATTGATATGCAGTGTAAGGGTATTGATATGTGGTGAAACGTTATTGATTGACTCTTATGAATCTACAAGGCTTTATGTGCTGTGTGTTTGTCGTCCTTCAAATCTCTGTCGATCATGGACACAGCTTTACTGTACAATAGTTTTGTAATAATATAGTGAAACCTGGAAATAACGTAAAACTATCTCCATTGGCAGGGATGGTGCTATTTGCAGGATCAGTCGGAATGATGATAATGCAATAAATCAGTCCGTGGCTGATTGAGTTAGCGCTAGCGGTCGCATACCGGGATCTCGTCCTTTCAAAATACCGGGACACTGGACGCAAACGAATCCCTCAAAATACCGGGATTGGATTAAAAACCGGGATTTTCAAATTTTGTGGTTTTTAATTTTCAAAAAATATAAATCGCATTCCATAGTTTCACTGCCGTATTAAGGGTAAAATAATAAAGCGGGTTGTTGGTAGCTTCAACGTTGACTTACTTGCATATCCCTAAGACTTTGATTCGTCAAATGACTGCTTGGACATAATTCTATGGCCAGATTGTGACCAGATGTGAAAACATATTTTGGGCCTTCAACAGCTTGGTCCGACAGTGGACCTTCAACAGCTTGGTCAAACAGTGGACCTTCAACAGCTTGGTCAAACAGTGGACCTGCAACAGCTTGGTCAAACAGTGGACCTTCAACAGCTTGGTCTGACAGTGGACCTTCAACAGCTTGGTCAAACAGTGGACCTTCAACAGCTTGGTCAAACAGTGGACCTTCAACAGCTTGGTCAGACAGTGGACCTTCAACAGCTTGGTCAAACAGTGGACGTTCAACAGCTTGGTAAAACAGTGGACCTTCAACAGCTTGGTCCGACAGTGGACCTTCAACAGCTTGGTCAAACAGTGGACCTTCAACAGCTTGGTCAGACAGTGGACGTTCGACAGCTTGGTCAAACAGTGGACCTTCAACAGCTTGGTCAAACAGTGAACCTTCAACAGCTTGGCCAGACAGTGGATTCCTTGTTGGAAGTTTCTAAGGAGAGATTGAATATCTTCGATCTGAGCATGATGAACCTGAAGAAACAACATGGCCGCTTAAGAGACATTGATAATTGAAATCCAAAGTAAACTTCAGGCTCAGAATAATACTTGCAGGCCCACTGATGGAGACATTGACATATTGGTAAAAAAGTAAATAGAGATTGCCTTATTTGAAAATAGCGGTTCAAGGGTAAAATATCTTGAAATTGCGTACAATAGCTTAAGACTTTAGGTCTATTCCTTCAAGCGGTAGTGCGAAGTCTGAGTGAGTGTTCTCGTCATCCGATTACTTTTGTAAACATTTGCGATCAAACATT